TTATAATATTCATATCTTTTATGATTAAATTCATCAGCTATAATTTTGAGATGTGACATTAATCATAGTACCAGAAACAAAGTTATATGCAAACCTGTTTTTCACATACGTATGTACATATGTACTATACCAGAAATAGAGTATTATTGAAATGTATAGTTATATAGCTTTACATATTTGTGCAGATAATACAAACTCCTAAAAGGAAACAGCCAATCAGTGAGTTTATATTTTGATCATTTTGAATTAGCTCGTCATAATTCTGAACAAAAGCAAAGAAGCAAAGAGCGAAATACTCGAAAATTAGTATTCAAATCAACATAATCAAAAATGGTGCAAATGAGATTTTATATATAATAGGCAACAGCTATGGCTATAACTTTAATATTAACAGTTTATTTTTTTTTTACACTAGAGTATGAAACCAGTAATCATTTAACTGCTTATAAATAAAATAAAAAGCAAAAATATATATATATAAATATCTAATATGTAAAACTAGAGCTGTTAATCGGTCTATCCGGTTTATCCTGGTTAAAAGACTGCCTAATCTTTTGAAAAATTAGACTGGACTGCAGTCCAAGACCGAATAGAACTGAATAGAGTTAGATCGGACAGACTGATAATTAATATAATATTTTTGCTATAACAATGAATATAAGTTTATCTGTATAAAAAATCTCAACACATTATAATAAGCTCTTCGAATTTATAATATTTGCTTATATGATATATGAGGTGCAATATAGTTATTTATTAATTGGCACATTTAATAATTTAAGTCATATGTAAATTATGGTTTAGAAAATAACATAGTAATAGTAAAAAATTTATTGATATAACATTGTTAGTATTTAATATTTCTCTTAAATATTTAAAAATTTATAAACCTAATATATTTAATAAAAAAAATAAAGTATGCTAATAGTGTCCAGTATATTTTAAAATTAAAATCAAAAAAAATTTAATCTGTAAAAAGTTATAATATAAAAATTTCAAATGTATTAATAAGCATCATAAAATTATATACATATATAAAAAAAAAACTTGCTAACAGGAAAAAAAAATTGTAAAATTAAAATTTAGAATAGTAAGTCTTGGTAAACCAAGATTTTAAGCACAAAATAGCCTGAACTGTTTCATTATTAAGAGAATTTCATGATTTAGTAACTGTCAACCTAGCTAAACTAAATAGTTGTTCGCATAGAACACTAGTTGACATAATAGCTAGATAATCTTTTGCCATGGTGGCTAAATTTGGAAAAGCTTTTTGGTTAGCTTTTTACCAGTCACAAATAGAAGTTTCTTCAGGTGAAGCAGTTGTTTCCCAATATCGAGTAAATTCATCTGAATCAGAAGTTGTAGTTAATCTTGATGTTCTATTATATTCTTGCATAAATTGAATATGCTTTGAAATGTATGGAGGTTAAACTATAGATTCAGAATTTACTGGAAGATTTGCATAAATTAAAGCCAAAATTTCATTTAATAGATTTTCAGAATAAATTAATTGTTTAAAATATGGATCAAAAAAGGCAGCAATTTTACTCGCTTCTTGCATAATTTGCTAATATTCATCTAATTTTTCTTTAATTTTAGATAATACTAAATTTATATCTTGATGATTGCTATAAAAGGTATTAAGATAATTAAATAAACCAGAAATAATAAGATGTAAGTCAGCAATTGTTGAATAGTTGGATTTTGAGAGAATTTTTGTTGCAATATTGAATAGTTTTAAACAATCACGAAGTTCCTATTAAATTAAAAAATAATTATATATAATTAATATTTATTATTTAAAATCTTTATTAAAATTATAAAAAACTATTTTTATTTAAGTTAAATTAATAATTTTAATTATATAGGATTTTTGCTAGAAAAAAGTCTTTAAAACTATATTAATTTAGTAAATAAAAATTAAATATGCTAGTCATTTAGTTATCTAATTTAGATAAACTTTTTTTTTTGTAGAGCTTATTAACTAAACAAAATAAAAAAATTTATTTAAATTGGATAACTAAATGGTTGGCAAATTTAATTTTTATTAACTAGATTAATATAGTTTTAAAGAGTTATTTTCTTAGCAAAGTCTTATGTAACTAATATTATAATTTATTGAATGTTTTAATTTAAGTAAAAGTATAATTTTATAAAATATTAGTAATATTAAAATACTTACTAAAAGAAAATTCCATTCATTTTCAGTAAGTTGTAAATCACGTAATGCTGTATATCATATAGCAAGAGAATCTAAATCCATATGTAAAACTAATGCATGGTCTATCATAAAAAGATGAATTCCATCGAGTTATGCAATCAATAATTGGTCGTAAAAAGGATGATCAAAGGAAACTGATATACATTTTAAATCTTCAATTAAAAGTGCAGATTTATGTATTTTTTAATAAAATAATGAAGCTTAATTAAATATCTATTTGTTAAATTTAGATCTTTTGTAACTGCAATATTCATAATATGTGCAGCATAGCGAATATGTTGAAATGAGGTATTAGAAAAATTATTAACAAGAGTATCTTTAACTATACTACTAGCTAAAATAATATTACTAGCATTATCAGAAGTTAATGCTAAAATTTTTTTTTCTAATTAAAACTCATTTAAAAGGGATAAAATAATATTTGCAATTATTTGACCAGTATGAGAAGAAGGAATTTCAAAAACATCTAAAAGAAAATGACAAAAATTCCAATTATCATCAATAAAATGACAAGTTATTGCTATAAAACTTGTCATAGTACAAGAAGTCTAAATATCGGTTGTCAAAGTAACTTTACAAGAAAGATTGACAATAAAATTTTTAATTAAACTTTTTTGTGATTCGAATTTGGAAATAATTGAATTTTTAAGTACTTGTTGACAAGAAAGTTGAAAGCGTGGATCAATATCAAAAATAAATTGCTTAAAATATAAATTTTCAACAACTCAGAATGCTTGTAAATTAACAACAATCCACTTTAATAAGAGAGCTACTTTTTTTCTTGAATATTATATGGATATGGTTCAGGATGTAGATAACGATCTAATGTTGTTTGACAAAAATTATCATATAATCCTATATGTTGTGTTTGAATATGTCGGTCAAGTGAGCTTGTTGCTGTTTTATCACTAAATATATGTTTACAATAGTTGCATTTACGTTGTTTTGTTGCAAGTACAGTAAAAAATTTCCATACATATGAGGTTGTTGTTTATTTGAACGAGCTATAAGATTATTTTCAGTAGAATTGTCATTATCATGTGATGTAGATATTTCAATATCGGAACTTTCAGTTTCTTGATTTTGTTCAAATTCAATTAAATTATCTAGGCTTTCTATATCTTGAGTAACTTCAAACTCATCGAAGTTATCAGATTCTTGTTCATTACTGCTACTTGAACTATCAAGCTCATCATACAAAGCTTCACTAATATTTGAATTTGCTTTTGAACGAGTTACAATAGGATCACGATTCATAGTTAAAATGCAATTCAAAAGGTATGTAAATAATGAGCGATTAAATTTTTATCTCTAATATCTTGTTTATATAGAAATTTACAATTCTACTTTGGACAATATTAAGTAATTTATTGATATCAATTTTGCAATTTCGCCAAATAAATCAATAGCTAAATTGTATAAATTAATTAATAATTTATTATTGCTCTTTAAATTATTTACAAAAGAACTTTATATTACTTAATGAATTAGATTTTTTATAATAACAGGTTTTTGGTTAAAGATATATAATTTAACTATTTATTTGGACTACTTTATAAGTGAGCAATATTGAACAAAAACTTGTAAGAAATATTCAATAAATTTTATTTAATATAATTTATTTCCAGATGCTTATTTGATTAAATCTGTAAGACTAAAATGGTTAAATATACAAAGCTTTAAAGATTTTATTTGGCGTTATCTATATTATCAAAATTTACACTTGTACCGATATCTTTATTATATTATGTTATTATTTATAGCTACCAAAATTCCAGTTTGTGGCATTTATCTTATACTGATAAAATTAAAAATTTCGTTATATTGAATAAGTATTATTCAAACTGCTATTCAAACTGTTATTCAATACTACCATATGACTTGCAGACATGCATATCCATGATAGTGTTGAATAGCAGTTCGAATAGTAGTTTGAATAGTATTAGAATTGTTATTTAGTATGATAAAAAATTTAAAATCTATCAATATTACTATCTTTTATATGTCAAGTTTATTGTATTTATAAAAATATAGATGAATATACAGCCGTGAAAATTTAAGAAGCCTGATTGTTAAAAGCCTGATTGTTAAAAGCTAGAAATTTATTGGCCAGCATGAATTTAAAGTTTAAAATCAACATGAAATATGCAAATTTGCGGTTGAAAATAAATTAGATGAATTTAGTATGCGATATTTTGGCGTTGTAATCTTTGGATTATCGTCTAGTATATGATTTGTTCAAATCAAGATGATCTACATTATACATAAATCCTGATCCGCTTGTGAACGAAGTCACAAGGCGGGCATTATTGCGAGTCACTGGACATTCCATGTGACGACAAGTCATTGAACTTGCTCATGACGAAATTGTATTTGAGTAACCTGATGATCTGTATTGATTCTTCGTTCTTTGAATTTTCTGCTCGA